CAAAAATTGTAAATTGGATAGAACACCTTTCCACAACCCACATCTCCTTGGGTTCGCAAAAACTGGTGAAATCCACGTGATTTGGAACTACTTGTTTTGTTTTGATGCGGGTGGAGCAAAGGAAGATGGTGGACCAATGATAACGTATAGCTGCCATACAAGAATGCAGCCTGGGCAAAAACCCGGGGCAACTCAAACATTTTATTATGACGAGCCTGGTCAAAGAATAGTACACTTTCCAACGAACAGGTGTGCTCAGTTGGACTTAGATAAGAAAATTGTGATTCTGTGGAAATGTAATGATTCTGTGAAACAGAAGTGGATCTTTCATAAGGCGAGATGGTCATAGCACCGAGTCTAATGTTTAAGTGGTATCCGAATTAGCTATTATGCAGATTGAGAATGCTGTAAAATAAATATTATAATTATCATTATTGAATATTGTAAACAATTTCATAAAGTAATCTACGGTTTGTTTTTCTCCTTATAATTATGCTTTTCAACATTGCTTTACTGAGTATGTATTGTAAGACTTACATTTGTAACCAAATCCATCGTGGTGAACGTTACACCAATGAAACTGTGCCGATCGCGGTGATGTTTTGAGTTTATACGTGATAAAAAATTTGTATGGCTGTTGTATGCTGGTTATAGACCATGACTTACATGAAGTTATACTCTGCCAACGAAGTTCCATTTCTGCTTGGAAGCTTTGCGCTAGTATTATATGACACAACATAGACCTGAGTCTGACAATAATTCTAAATTTAGTTTTTATCAGCGGCGTATCCCATTTATTTTTTGTTTTATCGAATGTCGATGAGGTGGTTAGCTACGACACGTGATGAGGTACGGTACAAGCAGTTCAGGTACGACTTTAGACTTTATCTACACCATTTCAGATAGTGAACGTAACTTTATGCTGTAAGAGTAGATAAGAATATTTACGCCCTTGACTTTTCCTGCCCTGATTCAGTCTTATGACTACTTATTGAGCTAACAGTTGTTTGTTGTATCGATTTTTCGGTTGGTGACTGGCATCATATTGTATTTACTAGAAACTTAAGTTTCTTAAACTGCAGATACAGAAATACAGAATGTTTTTCGAAGTTTTCTAATGTTTGCTTTTGAAACATTTGCTCATTTCAGGAACAAAATGAAAATCTCGATCGTACTCTTTTTCACATTCATTTTACTAGCGCCCTGCACGGCCGACAGTACCAAAAACTTGCTCCGCTTCCCTAGGGAACCCTTCTCCGACAACTTCATAGTGTTGCATCCAGATCTTAGTTCAGTGAGGGGGGAGTTCTCTGTGTGCACCTGGCTAAAGAATCAGTTAAATCAGAACGTGCCCTGGTTCAGCTACAAAGTTCCTGGTGCTCGTAACACTCTCCTTCTCAAACTCACCGGTTTTCACGTGATGGTAGCGTCTGGGGTAGCTTATCCGTTGCATTTTGAAGCGAAAATAATGCGGGATGAGTGGTACCATCTGTGTTATATATGGAAGTCTGGGTGGGCAGAGTATTATATAAACGGGGTGTGGGTGCCCGTGACGGGACCGCATCCAAAAGGACTGCTTTCTGTGGGTGGAACTCTAGTGCTGGGTCAAGGACAGGGCAGATCAGAGTCCGACAAGTTTGCAGGGGACATGTATCAGTTGAATGTGTTCAAAAGGACCATAACTCTGCAGGAGGTGACGGAGATGTTTTACAACGGACGCTGTGCTGATATTTGCCGAGCCCTTGCGTATGAAGTTGTTGTTAGTTGGGCAGATATTCTGAGGAAGGGGGAGGTGAATGGAGAGGTAACGAAAGAAGCAAGCGAGTGTGATTACGCGTGGGGAGTTGTTAGTGATGTTGCTGCGATGTTGGTTCGAAATATCAAGAGGAAATATAACTAATTTAACTAGATTCTTGTGCCGATTGCAAATTTATGTTCATTTATTGATTTGCTTATTTTTTGGAAAAGAGAGTAAATCAGCTTAATAAGACTTTTCGCCGGACAGTTTAATCTCCGATACCAAAATAAACCAATCCATATCCTTCAATCAAACTAATGTACAGTCGAAGAGTTGGATATTTGAAATGTAAGCAGCTCTAAATCAATGCACTGAAATCAAAACACTCACCTACCCGACATCAATTGAAATTCGCAGTATCAATATTTTATTCAATGCTCCGGCCAGTTTGCGGCAAAATTAACCGCCAATGCAATACCCTAGCTACTTAGAGGTAAACTGCGCGGCATATTGTAAGGTACTGATAAAATATAAGCAAAGCGCGCGCACTGGTCACGTGACACATTTGACTGACAACTAACAGTTTAATTAAAATTGGGCAGAAAAATAGTGCGCTTTTTCGCGCGCGCTAGGCCCAGGAAGATTTAAAAGCGAAAATATATTGCAGTAACTCTGCCATTACGTCAGAGGGGATATGACGCAGAGACACTGAACTGACGAAAGCATTTTTATCACACATCTGCTTTTATTGAGTCACGTGTCTTTAAATATTAATCACAGTTGGAGGCGGCTTGTTTATCAGAGGTAAGAGGACCATAGAAATAACCGGTCGAATCAAACAAATGTCCATTTCCATCATTAGTTTCAAATTTATTAGAATTTCAGAGTGATGAAGTTCTGTCAAGAATTGAGCAATGGCATAATGAGGCAGGCATTAAAAATTGTTAACTTGAAAATCGTACCCGAAATCGGATATTAGAGGCGAAACTTTCCGTTTTGCATGCCCAGGACAGAAAATTACCGCCCCCTCGAGCTCTTTCAAAGTCCCATTAATTTTGATCCTGAATATAATCCTTCCACCCCTGTTTTTGTAGCTTTTCAACCCAAGTCGTTCTCTCGTCAGCCAGTACAGACTAACTGAACCGCCCACACTTTGGAGATCGCGTTGAGTGATATCTAGTTGTGTAATCTGATAGCTAGTTTCTGGTGGGACAATACTGTTACTAAACATGCAGCTCACGCGTTCACCTTCCTCTCACACACTGAATAAAAATTGGGTGGGGAACTGTTTTTTTGGACCGAAATCAAAATATTTTATCTAAAATTCACGAACAAGGCTAGGTGTGACTACTGATGGGGTATTTGAGCCGGTCGTTATTTGTTACGCATTGGTACGTAGTTGTACGTAGTTGTTACGTATTGGTATGACATAAGCTATGATCTGATTTTGATTTTGACACTGTAATGAACTCACTAGGACGTAAATCAGTCTCCATTTCGAACTCATTAGAATCTGGAAAACGTTTAAACCATAAAAAGCAATCTCTACCTGTCAGAACCGCAAATCTCGTAATGTACTGGATTATTAAGAAAGGGGGTTTGGTTGCCAAGCACACCACGTACACACGTACACACTTGAGTTGTACACACTTACGCCGTACACACGTACACGAGTACATTCCGACGGCGATTACCGAATTACAAACCTATATGTACGGCGTACGTGTCATGGCTCATGTATAAAGTCGAGGTAATTTAGTACTGTATACCACGGTAATTAATAGCAGGATAAGCTATAACTATACATTATAACCGGCCAATGGAAGTATTCGATAAAGACCACGTGCCAGAGCTAGCCAATCAGAAAGAGATATAATCTAATTGGACAAATCAAGTCATTGAAAATTAAGAATTGGTTCAGTTTGGGTACTTTATTTTGAAGATTTTCAAAACACGTTCTTCATTGCTCAATATTTAACAGTAAACTGTGCAAAGCATTGCTATGACCGCTTACATAATTGTCAATGTGTATGCACTTTTTCGTACATAAATATGCATTATAAGCTAGTTATGCTTAACAGGACAGTTGAAACAAGACACTAGAAAGCTTAGTGTTTGTATTTTGTAGTAATTACTTTCTGGGCACAGTGTAGACTCCACACCATAGAACCAACTTAGCATACAACACCTAACGGTAATTTATAGTAATACAATCTACTGCTTATCAGTATACCTAATCAATATAACTTAACAACAACAACACCTTTACAACTCCTAATCACGTGACAGTTTTCCTGGGGTTTTATTGGTCAATAGTGGAAGCTGATTGTTGCTTTTACGTGTCTGAAATTCACCTCACCTCCAGAATCCACATCTATACGTTCGCAACAGCATAATTCTCACAATTCTACATAATTTAAGTTAACCCATTACTTGTGCCAAGAAGTGACAGAATCTATAAATAGAACATCTTATACAGTTATAGCAGTTGACAAGATATTCAAATATCATCCCAATTTTCTGGTCATCCCACGACATGTCGGGTGCGACGTGCGTGGACTTATAGCTTCCTTTTTACATTTTAGGAATAATCTCATTTAAACTTATACCCTCTTTCTATAAAGGGAGCAGGCCTTGTGCTTGACTTGGCGTCACGGTTTAGATGATTTTAGAGTACTATATTGTAAAATTATTGTAAAATATTTAATATTCGATGATAATCCCGATTGAATAGAAAGTGGAAGTGCTTAAATCATAATTTATACAATGCAGTGTTAATAGACATTATATTTACGCACATTATATCATCTTGGTGTGCGTGGGTGTGGCAGTTTAATGACAAGTTCGAGCAATAATTCATTTTTGTGGTGATTATACTAAATAGAGAGCAAAGTTTAATGTAAATTCGCTACAGTTGTTACCTTAAATTGTTTCAGAAAATATGGTCACATAACACGTTTCATACCACCGCATTCCACTAAAATCATCGCATATTAATTGCCATGTTACATGAAAATATGTTGACGCAAATCAACAACAAAAAAACGTACAATAAGTATTAATAATGTATTAATTTGGAGTCAATCTAGCATGTTCAGATTTACACAGACAAGTTTGAAGTTGATTTCACGAAATTGATCACATAATTGATAATTTAACATGACAAGCTTTCAATAAAATACTATAAATAACCTCAAATATCTAATAAAAGCGATGCTCAGCATCACGAAAGAACATTCCGGAAGGTAAGGGAAGAACTAACCTGAGTGATTTGTCTTGATTCGTGGTTACCACGTAACATGGTGATCCTGTAGTTGTACCTTACTTTCAGAGCCATAAGCAGTGTTACTGTTTCTACTGAGTAGTACCCTCGGTCAACGTAGTCTCCCATAAACAGGTAGTTCGTATCTGCAGTACGATTAATTAATTGATTAATCATAGGATTAATGAATACTCATTTTTTGCATGAAAGTTTTTTAATTGTCTCCTGATTGTACTTAAATCTTGGAAGTTTTATACGTTTTCAAATAATGTTTCCAATTTATATCCAATACTCAAATTATAAGTGTCGTTATTTTAAAAGTATATTAATGTTGGGAAGAAATTAAAACAAATTCAACAAAGGAAAGTTATTGCATGGTAACGAACTAATAAATAAAAGTAAGTAAAACTGACCTGGTGAGTTTCCGCCGATCTGGAAAAGCTCCTGAAGGTCGTGGAACTGACCGTGAACGTCTCCGCACACTGTGACAGGACATTTGACTTCTTGTACGTTTGATTCCTTCGTCAGAATTTCTTTTGCCTGACGATAATATCTTTTATTTTAAATACACAAATACTCCGAATTTTAGTGCAAACCAGAAGTTCAACTAAGCTCTTTATTTTCAGGTCGTGTTTAGTTCTGTTAGAATGACGTGGCCCTATGACCTAACAGCATTGTCAAAGATAATCCAACCACGAGACTTTGATAATCTAAACCTTTCCTCATGTTAAAGTAAACCACCCCGAAATTTCACACAAATTCAATTAATTACACACTGCCAAAATAGCAAAATGTACCCCACAAAGTGTACCTTTTCACAAAGAGTTTTGACTTGGTTCTCCGCCAACTGCTTCTTCTCGTACAGCTGCTCTATCCACTCGTCCAATTCCTTAACTTGCACCTTATCCTTCTCGTCTGGAGCTGCCATGCTCACTACTAGATAGAGTGGGGTTAGTAAATGGACTGTGAAATGTACTATAAAATAAATCTAACGATAAACTTTATGGCAGATCGACCGTGCAAATTTAAAACTTAAGTGTAAATCTTATTCAGATTTGGAAGATTTAAAAATACTGGAAATAGAACGTTTTAAAGTGTTCTCTGAAGTATATCGGCATTTTGTTTAATCGAACAAAAGCATGCTCACACCGTTGTCCGTTATACGATCTTAACATGAAATACTGTATATATTTAAAATATATGGTGATATTTCCCTGAGTTGAAAACTAGTTTCGATGTGATAATTTGTTAATTTGAACAAATATTCAATATTCATGAGATGATTATTTCTTTTTTATTCCACGATACAAATTTGGAATCAGTTAGGACAGTCTCATAGAATCATATCCGTGATAGATTTTTCAAGAAAAATTTGTATTTGAAATGGATCAAGAATTTTTGACAAATTTAGTTCAATTATAGTCAATGTTCATAATTTGCGAAATATTACAGCAATTTACATGAAAATTCATAAATCTGATGGGAAAGTCAGCGATGCCTGCAGGAAACGAAAATCATATAATTTTCAATCAAATTCTTTCAGCATCTTAGAATCCAAATGACTGTTCAACATTTTTACATTTCGTTTTCTCTTAACCGGCTTCTTCTTCATAGCATTCTTTTTCTTCAACCCATATCCCTCCATAGTTGCAATACCTACACGTTTCAAATAGTTCTCAATATCATTTTCACTGATCTCCTTCACACTGATGGTATTCCACAATTCCTTGAAATCCTCGCTGAGCTGGCATTCCACACTAGTGTCCCGATAGTATATCACAACTTGCTTATCTGATCTTGTTACACATTTCAACTGAGAGAGGAGAATAAGGATGTTATTTTTGGTGATGGTTATTAAAGTTATTAAAGTTATTGAAGTTATTGAAGTTATTGAAGTTATTGAAGTTATGAGGCAGTAGACTTAAATAGCATTATTCAAACATAGCGACTTATCATTCAAATAATTCATTTTGAATGACAAAATTAGCTTTAATAGTTAATTAAAACACATACTTTCTGAACACTAAACTTACCAAATTTTCTGATTTAAGTTCTGCGATGACTTCTTCAGCTTTCAAAATGCATTCTTTGACATCTAGTTCCATAATACCACCCATACCATTATCATAATGTTCTCTTAATATGTTCAATAAATCGTCTTTGTTGTGCATCGGATATGAAGGTTTAAAAGAAAACTTTTCCTTTTCTCTTTCGAACAAAACTTTTGGATTGTCTTTCAATGCATTCGTTAGCCACGCTTTTTCGTGTGGGTCCAAATCAAGGCCTGTCATTTTTATCAAATCATCAATTGATACAGGTTTTCTTTCCTTCTGATAACGTCTTCTCAGTCTATCGACGGTTGTTTTTAGCCATTTGAAAGTGTTGGGGTTATTAGCAACTGATTTAGTGTCTGGTTTGAAGCGCTTCTTGGAAGGCTCATTTGTGCGAGGTGCTGACTGTTTGGCAGTGGGTTTGGAGGTGGGTTTGGAGGAGGAAGCTGTAGCTTGTTTCTTGAAGGCAGCATGTTGCTGCAAAAGGTTAGTATTCATTCTAAAATGGGAAAGAAATGTCATTATATGATTTGAATTATGTGTTTTACATGTTTTGAGGAACAACATTTAAGCTTTTCAATGAAATAGCGATCACAGGTAAACACATGAAAATTGGGTGATTATTTATTACGGTCCGTAGTCAGAAGAAAATTTTCTCGGTTGATAAGCCAGGAAGTACCAGGAAACGTCTTGTGAATTGTCTTATTGTGATCAAGGCAATGTCAGAAATAGAAATACGATTAAAATATCAAGAATTTTGTTATTTGCATCATAAATTCATAAAATAGTTCCATCCAAAATTTCGAAATCGAATTTCTAGTGGCTCACAATAAAATTCAGTCAGCTTCAAAATAGTACATTCTTGAGTAAGGAATAAAACTGATAAAAAGGGTCACACTTGTTCAACCAGTTAAAATGATAAATAATTATGTCACCAGTAGAAAAATTAATTTACCCCAGTAATTAAAATAATATAAAATTTCAGTAATAATTTAATGTGAATCTAAATATATATATCGAGTAAAACAAAATGTATATTTCATAGAATCAATGTGAATCAATGTGAAAAAGTATCTTCTCTTACAATTTAGTCGGGGTCCTGACCCTTCTCCAAGAGAATTGTTTCTCTTGTCTCAATCATGAATGCAAAACCTAATATGGGTCAATAACGAAATTCTTTCTTATAAATTGTCCATTATGCTCTTCCTTGGCATTTTCGATCAAGTATACCATATCAGCTACAGATTCAGTAGTTGTCAATGTAGCATTGTAGCCTCCTAAATCAGTCTGTACCCAACCTGGATGAACGGCCAAGCTGATAATTCCATCTGCAGTGAACTCCAGTGATGTTATCTTAGTTAGCATGTTTAAAGCTGTTTTGCTGACTTTGTAAGATACAGCATAAGCTTTTTGGGTGTTTTCTACACTGGCAAGTTGAGATGAAATGTTGAAAACAGCTCCACGAGCACAGCACAGTGGAATATCAGACCTCTGTGACGCAGACAACTTCAAAAGAGGATAAAATGCCATTGTCATAGAATGAGTGCCAGAAACATTCACATTGAATACTTCAGACATTTCTTTGGAAGAACATTCATGTACACCAGCTGGTTTATTATAGCTTTGTATTGCAGCATTGTTTATGAGAAGATTTAGTCCTTTACCATTTAATGCTTGCTTAACTTTCAGGGCAGCACTTTTGACTTGGTCTGATTTGGAGATATCGAGATCAACATGATGAACGTTTTCATCAGTTAGAAGTTGATCCAAATCGGTGGTATGCCTTCTCGAGCATGCAAATATTTGAGTGTTGGATCCAGTAATTTTGTTTGCTTCCACAAAATGTTTAACAAATTGCAGACCAATGCCTTTGTTACAGCCTGTAATTAAGACAGACTCCAAAACATGCTCTTTTAACACCTTCATTGATCTAAATATTTGAGAACTTAAACATTAGTTTTTCAATAGCTTTATCATTATACAAAGTTATAAACTAGCCGTAAAAAAGTAATACCTGCCCATCAATCGCAACATTAATCAAAGTAGGGCATATTTATTCAAACATCTTTAAGAGTTAAACGGATCAAATTAATGTAACTTAGGACAAATTTTTTTATTCAGCAAAAAATATCTCAAACACATGTTTATTGTTTATACATCAATAAAAACCTTAAACCAACTAAAACTTCATAATCCAGGGGTCATATTTAAATAGTAACTCGAAAATAAATAAATCAAGATATAAAAGTTGTTATTTCATGGGGTTAAGGGTCACTCAAGCCATGGTAAAGCAGCTAAAACACGAATAATTTAAACAAACATCTTCTTCATTCAGCAATCAGCACCTTCAGTACAAATCGAAAAGAGTTTCTTTCAATGAGAAATGAATGTAAAACTTTAATATGGGTCAACAACAAAATTCTTTCGTACAAACTGTCCATTGTGCTCTTCCTTGGCATTTTCGATCAAGTATATCATATCAGCTACAGATTCAGTAATTGTCAATGGGGCGTGGGAGTCTCCTATGTCGGTTTGTACCCACCCTGGGTGTACAGCTAAGCTGATAATTCTATCTGCAATAAACTCCAGTGATGTAATCTTAGTAAGCATGTTGAGTGCCGTTTTACTCACTCTGTAAGATATGGCATACGATTTTTCTGTATTTTCTACACTGGCAAGTTTAGAAGAAATATTGAAAACTGCTCCACGGGCACAGCACATTGGAATATCAGACCTCTGTGAAGCAGACAGCTTCAAAAGAGGATGAAGTGCCATTGTCATAGAATGAGTGCCGGAAACATTCACATCGAAAACTTGATTAAGTTCTGCGGGAGAACAGTCATTTAAGCCAGCATGTTTATTATTGATTGATTGAAATAATTGATTGAAATAAATTTTCGTGCACATACAGAATGAATGGTTAATAATTTAATATATATGTAGACCAAGGTCTGTGCACGGGATGCTTCCTGGAATTATAGCTTTGTATTGCAGCATTGTTTATTCAAGAAGATTTAGTCCTTTACCATCCAAGATTTGCTCAACTTTCAGAGCAGCATTTTTGACTTGGTCTGTTTTAGAGATATCTAGATCAACATGATGAACGTTTTCATCAGTTAGAAGTTGATCCAAATCAGGGGTATGTCTTCTCGAACATGCAAATATTTGAGTTTTGGAACCTGCACTTTCATTTGATTCCACAAAATGTTTAACAAATTGAAGACCAAGGCCCTTATTACAGCCTGTAATCAGAACTGACTCCAAAATGTGTTTCGTTAATACTTTCATTGATCTAAATAGTAAAGAACTTTAATTAATTAGTCGTTATCAAAATGCAATTATAAACTAGCTAAAAACATATTTAAGGAAGGAAGTAGTAAGTGTCCCAATGGGTTATGACCGATTATAGATTGTGATAGATTGTTAAGCAGCTGTTTTGGGAACATTCTACTTTAAAATCTATTTATTTTTGCTTTTGCTGATGCATCAACAAAGTTGTGATGTAGTGCATCCTTATTCAAACAACTCTCTACAATGAAACAGATGAAATTATTGCAGAAGAAAATATTTCATTCAACATAAAAAACATCTCAAACTTATATTTATACATCAACAAACCGGAACCTAATAATATAATGTAACCAAGTTAAGCTCGTAAACCAAGGGTCACTTAGCTAATTAAAAATACTAAAACGACATTTAAATAAAATTGTTATTTAAATATTTGTTCATGGAGCTGAGGGCCACTCAAGCTATGGTTTTACAAAACTGTAAAATTAAATTCCTATTTTAGTCAACTTGAAAACTTTCAAAACATAATCGAATTCATTCCTTTTCTTAAAAATGCACCATTGTGCTTCTTATTACAATTCCCCATGATCTCGATCATATCTTCTACTGCAGTTTCCCCAGATAGTGGGGCCTGAGGTCCACCAAGACCAGTTTGAGCCCAACCCGGGTGCACAGAGAAACAGATGATATTGTCTTTGATGAGGTCAACTGCTGAACATTTCGTATACATGTTCAAACCTGCCTTACTGACCTTGTAGGCAGTGTACAAAAAGTTTTTGTTGGTCCCTTTAATACTACCAAGCTCAGCAGAGAGATTGCAAATAGCAGCTCTTGAGCAGGAAATTGGCAGGTCGGCTTGGGATTCTGCAGATTGTTTTAACAAGGGCTGAAAGCTTCTTGTCATTGCATGAACACCTATTAAATTTGTATCCAGCGTTTCCTTCATTTCTTCAACTGAGCATCCTGATACTCCCTTTCCATGTCTCATGATAGCTGCATTATTAATCAGCAGGGATAAACCATCACTACCAACTATTTTCGATACTTTCGAAGCTGCGTCATTTACTTGAACCTCATTTGTCACATCAACATCAATATGGTGGATGTCTTCCAAAAGTTCTTCAAGCTCTGGACTCATTTTTCGTGCACATGATATAACAGTAGTTTGCTGAGCACCAGGCAGCTGATTCTTCTTTACAAAGTACTTTACAAACTCAAGGCCAAGACCTCTGTTGGCTCCAGTGACCAAGACAGATCGAGGTAAAAACGGCAGTAAAACTTTCATGCTGAAATTGTATTGAATTAAAAACGTTCATGTTCATTCCTTGGCCACATATAATTCATGATACAAATTTGAAGTTAAAAATGGATACACATTACACATAGGACACATACATAACTTGCACAGACTGAGGTATATATATATAACAATGAATCATATTATTGAATAATTATTTAAGATTCGATCATAACTAAAAAATCACTATAATGACAACAAAAGAGGGTCAGTGTTATTCTTAAATGAAACGTTGAAATAATCCCCAATAATTTGATACTGAATTTAAAGCACTGAGTCATGCAGCTCAAATAAGTTTCACATAGTATTTATAAGTAAATCATCAGTAGGGTTCTGAGACAAGATTTTTTCGAACATACATTCCATTGTGTTCTTCAGTGCAATGAGTAATCATGTGCATTATATCTTCAACAGATTCTTTGGTAGATAATGGAGCTCTTGGGCCTCCAAGGTCAGTTCGAACCCAGCCAGGATGAACAGACAAGCAGATGATACCATCTTTGATAAAATCAGATGCTTGACATTTTGTCAGCATATTCAATGCAGCCTTGCTCACACGATAAGCAGTTGTAAAAGAGTTTTTGGTGTTTTGAATACTACCAAGTTCAGATGAAATATTAAAAACAGCAGCTCTAGCACAAGAGAGCGGGGTATCAGAGTTACACTCAGCAGCAAGTTTTAAAAGTGGATGGAAGTTGTTTACCACAGAATGTGGGCCTATGACATTAACAGTCAATGTTTCTTTCATTTCCTGATCTGAACAGCCTAGCACTCCTTTGCCATGCTGCATAATAGCTGCATTGTTGATAAGCAAATTTAGACCATCAGCTCCAACAATATCAGACACTATTTTGACTGCTGCTTGCACTGACATATTGTCAGTAACCTCGAGTCCAACATGATAGACGTGCTCTGACAACATATCCTCTAGCTCTGGACTTAATCGTCTTGAACAAGATATCACTTTAACAGGCTGTTCATGGTGCTGCTTATTTTGTTCAACAAAATATCTTACTAGTTCTAAACCGATGCCTCTGTTAGCACCAGTCACCAACACTGACTTAATTAGAAATTTCTGCAAGACTTTCATACTGAAATGGTAGTGAATTGATTTAATTTGAAAATTCCCTCAAACAATGAAGAATATTAACATTGCTGCATCATATAATTACATTAAGGCTGCTAAAATACTCAGACGGCCAAATACTACATAGAGAAAAATTAATTTGAGAGAAAGAAAATGTTTACAAATTAACAAAGCGAAAGATAGGTGAATAGATGAATTACACTTCATACCAGTAATTTTGAATAAAATTAAACAACCAAAAATGAGAAAATAGATTAGAGGTATATAGTACTGGATCATGCAGATGTAATCAGTGTGACATATTTGAAAACTTGGCATACCGTAATTAATAAGGATATGTGGTATGCCGTAATCAATAAAGATGTGTGGTATGCTGTAATTAATAAGGATGTGGGACAAAGTTTTGTCTGGCAAATATTCCATTGTGGTCTTCAGTGCAATGAGTAATCATCTGCACTATATGATCTTGGACAGCTTCTTTATAAGATAATGGAGCTCTTGGATTTTCAAGATCAGTTGGAACCCAACAAGGATGAACAGACAAGCATATGATACCATCTTTGATAAACTCAGATGCTTGACATTTTGTCAACATGTTCAATGCAGCTTTACTGACTCTATATGCAGTTTTGGAGGAGGTTTTGGTATCATGAATACTACCCTGTTCAGATGAAATATTGAAAACGGCAGCTCTAGCACATGAAAGTGGAAATTCAGAGTTACACTCAGCAGCAAGTTTTAGAGTGGATGAAATTTGTTTGTCACTGAAAGAGGTCCTGTGACATTAACATCGAACGTTTCTTTCATTGCCTGGTCAGAGCAGTCAAGCACTCCTTTATCATCGTGCATTATAGCAGCATTGTTGATGAGTAAGTTAAGACCATCGTTACCCACAATGTCAGACACTTTTTGGACTGCTGCAGACACAGACTTGGTGTCAGTAACGTTGAGTTCCACATGAAAAATATGCTCTGACAACAAATCATTTAGCTCTGAACTTAATCCTATCGAGCTAGATATCACTTTTACTGGTTGATCATTCTTTTCCTTATTCTGTTCAGCAAAATATTTGATCAGTTCTAATCCAATGCCTCTGTTACACCCAGTCACTAATACTGACTTAATTGGAAACTGCTGCAAAACTTTCATACTGATATAATGGTGATTTTAAAAGTATACACATTCAGTGTTGGATTAAGATTTAAGATATAGTCTGGATTATAAAAATTTTAATAAAGAAAACATGTATCAACACATCTCTACAAAGTATCATTACACTGTACGAAAAAATATATATATATAAAGATAATAAATATCAAATTAAATTCACTATAATTTTATAAACCAACTCCCAATTCCCAGGTGGTACGAAGATTGATAAAGCGCTATGCCCACTAAACCAAAGACAATCGTTTTTTTTTTTCGAAATGTATTTTTGCTTCCTTCAATTCTAAGAATAACTTCGCCTGATACTTGCCAGAAATAAAATTATCATAGCTTAACAAAAAATAAAGTATAAATTCAGGATTTAGAACAACGAATAATGACTAGTGTTATGTACATAACACTAGTTCCTAACATATGTCGGAACTACTTAGATTGGCCTTTCACCATTACTATATCGCAGATACCCCGCAAATAACTGTGGGATAGAAACTCTGAGAGTACTAAATCTGTCTGGTACGATTGCATACGCAAGGACTCGTCCTTGTAAATGGAATCAGTCCACTCTAATGCCGATGATCTATGAAATGCCCCATTGCATATAAATTGATACAGTTTACAACACTCCGGATCAAAATGGCAAGGCAAGTGACATACCGATTCATGTAATTAAGCAGTCCTCTAAAATAGTTACTCCTCTACTCACTGTACTGTATAACGAATGTATGAAAGATGGCATATTTCCAGATGACCTTAAAGTTGGAAGGATTAGTCCCATTTACAAGAAAGATAACCAGGAACTCCTTGAAAACTATAGACCTGTATCAACGCTAGCTGTGTTTGGTAAAATATTTGAAAAGATTATATTCAATAGATTATACAGCTTCTTTCATTCACAGAATTCCTTATATGAAAACCAGTACGGATTCCGTAAAAATCACTCGACCAGTTAGTTATGCCCTAAATTACTCAGTGAACCACGTAGAATCTTGCCTCAAGAAAAAACAACACGTTCTTGGAATATTTATTGATCTTAGTAAAGCCTTTGATACAATATCACATGAAAAGTTACTGCATAAGTTAGAAAATTATGGAATCCGTGGAAATGCAAATAACCTTATAGCAAGTTACCTGTAGAATAGATACCAGTATGTCTCAGTATTAGGTGAAGACTCCGAGAAACTTCCAGTAGTCTATGGAGTGCCGCAGGGGAGCTGTCTTGGTCCCTTACTTTTTATTATTTATATTAATGACATCCGTAACTCATCAATTATAGGAAAGTTTATACTATTTGCCGACGACACTAACATATTTATAGAAGACACATGTGTCAAAAGACTATACGAAAAAGGAAATGAAGTTCTATCATTTGTGTACAAGTATATGAAACTAAACTTATTACATGTTAACATTAAGAAATGTTGTTTTATTCATTTTAAACCCTCACGGGCCAAAGAGGAAGTAGAAAATGACGAGAACGTACTAACTTTAAATAATGTAGTTATTAAAAGAGTTCAAGAAGCTAAATTTCTAGGCGTTATTATTGACGACCAACTTAACTGGAAATCACATACGCAGTCACTTAACTCAAAACTTAAATGCGAAGTAGGAAAGTTGTGCAGAGTACGACACATTGTCCCAAAGCAGTATTATAAAGATTTATATCATACTCTATTTGAATCACATTTAGGATTTGGAATATCTGTGTGGGGTGGTATTAGCAATAATCGACTTGAACCTCTCTTTAAAACACAGAAAAAGTGTATAAGAATTCTGTTTGGGGATAGAGAAGCTTACCTAGAGAAGTTTAAAACGTGTGCCCGAACACGACCTGTTGATAAGCAAAGACTGGGGGTGGACTTTTACCAAAAAGAACACTCCAAGCCCTTGTTTAAAACCCACAGGTTGTTAACGGTCCACAATCTGTACAAGTACACATGTCTCTTAGAACTGTTTAAAATTAATAAGCTAGAAGAACCACTGTCACTATACTCATCATTTAACAGGTCACCTAGGCGGGAAGATTATTTCATTACATCACAGCCATCCTCACAATTTATCTATCAATCATCCTTCATGTGGAACAGCTGTCGAAAAACATCAAGTAAGACAAGTTTTAATACTCCGACGAACGGGTTTAAGAATATATTGAAAATTGCTTTACAAGAATTGCAATTCAAGCATGATACACTTGATTGGTGTGAGCTTAATTTTGCCACAAATGAGCTCAAGTTCTGATTGATGTGAGTTACTGAAATGACCATATATCTTTTCTCATACATACTTGAACCACTGCACTCCAACCAAAATCATTACTAACCACAGTCCACACACCATACTCGACAAATAATATTATATATATATATTTTGTAGCTGTACTCCTACACATTAAAAGTCGGTGTTGATTAGATCTTCGAAATAAGTCTTTGCATCATTTTATTAAACATCGTTATCTGAAATAAAATTGTTCTAAAAGCAACTGGAATATTCACAAATCTTTAAAATAACTTACAAACTAGGAAAGGAAAACAAGTCTTAGGAAGACGTACAAAACTATGTGACTTAAAACGGTACAAAACTAAAATATACTGAGTAATAATCAAACAAAAAGAATGGCTGCGTACATTTTATCTAATCTATTAAAGATTAGTTTCCCGGAAAAAGCTAGATTTCTCTGAATCAAGCAGTAAAAATATATAAATAGTAATGAATATAACACGTCTCTGATAGCAATATTGTAAACTAAACACGGGTTTATAGGCTGAGATCATGTCAAATAAAATAAATAAACTAAACACTAAGCTCCAGCGGATTTAAAAAGGATGTGGTTACTATCGAGGGTGTTCATACCCCCATAACGCTCAAGGGTTTTCAATTGGGTCTGGTAGAACCCCTCTCTAGCTTCCATGGCCTTTTCCCTATCTGCTTGACTTATTTCAGGTTTAAATTCAAGAGCGTCCACTATAATAACAGAAAGGTGCGTACTAAGTGAAGAGTTATATAAGGCTACTGAACTAAAATCTAAATCATGATCAATATCTAAAAAGTGATTTACTAACTTACAACTTCTGATACCTTTCTTAATGTGGCTCTTATGATTAGAAAATCTCTTAGGGAGATTAGAAGTAGTATATCCTACATACGACTGTTTACAAGTTCTACACTCCATTAAATAAATAAGGTTATTACTCTGACAAGTTATATATTTAGTAATAGGGAAAACTTGTTTGGAATGGTGACTACTAAATTTGGAACAAGGGGACAGGAAACTTTGCTTACAAACATAGCATTTTCCACAGGCATGGCACCCTGCGTTGTCAGCCTCCCGAACAGCCGGCAATATTGCAGCGTCTGGTTCAAGAAATTGACTAGCAGTGGCTTCTCCATCTCTATCACTGCTTACAGTTCCACTAGCACGATACTTATTGTGTACAAGCATGCCACCGATAGTTTGATTCTTTCGGTGACTTACAAATACACTGTCAGCACGTACTAGCTTCTTCAAGGCTGGATCGAGATTAAGAAGGTGCTTATACTTGTGAATAATGCTCCCCATGTTGGGAAGTGCTGGATTCTGATCCATCACCATGGGTATTAGACAAGTAGTCGTCTCATCCTTATTTTTAGGGGCATACAAGTTTTTCCTATTGGTTATATCACTAAATTTGTTGAAAGCATCGTCTACAATACTAGAATGGTAACCACGGGCTACAAGGTAACCAGTATATACCTCCCTTTGCTCTAAGAAATTAGTGTCTTCACTATTGTTCTGCCTCACTCGCCTCGCCACACCATAGGGTATGTTTTTGAGAACATGGCTCCTATGACATGAGGTGGGGATGAGATAGCAGTGGGTGTCACTGGGCTTAGAGTAAAGTTTGGTATGAATAACATCGCCAACAGCATAGACATAGGTGTCTAAAAACTCAACACCATCCTTAGAGTAGTCGTAAGTAAACACAAGGTCCGGATGGATACTATTGAGCCATTCCATAAATTGTAGAAGCTCCTCAACAGTACCAGGCCAGGCCATGTATATATCGTCACGCAACCTACCCCAGAATGCTGGTCTGTGTGGCGGGCCATGTTCTAAATCTCTTTCATTAACTAAAATATCGATCTTATCCATTGCACAATCTGCATACTCACATGAGTTCTTAGGACCCATCGCCGCTCCACGCTCCTGACGGTATGTTATACCGTTGAACGAAGCTATGTTGTAATCAAGAGTGATTTCTAGAGCACTAATAATGCATTCTGTACTGAACAATTGATCATAACTACTTCTTTCATTCAGGTGCTTGGTGCATTGTTGGATCCCCATATCCCTGGGGATATTGGTGAACATGTTGGATATATCTATGGCAACATGTATCACCTCCTTACCCAACAATATGGTGGACTCATTCAAGCTATCAATCTTCCTCAAAAAATGAGGGGTGTCAATAATTCTATAATCTAAAATAGCCTTCTTCAATTCGTATGCAGTCAGGGCAGATAGGTTCTCAATGTACGAACCACATCCAGTAGTAATCATCCTCCCAGGGTACAAAGGTGGCTTGTGGGCCTTGGGATTCAGGTACATATTACCAGGCTGGTTGAGCTCCGTACACGGAATAACCCACTCCCTGACCTTCTTAGACATACCTAATTCTTCTTTATACTTGACTGTCCAACATGAAATTTTATCAATTAATTCTGAAACTAAATTATCTACATTATTTACAATACTATATACAGATCTATCATTCAAATGTACACCTATTCGTTGAATATATTCTTCCTCTCCAAGAAGAAAGAATCCTACCCCTTTGTCAAAAGGTCTAATAACCACATCCTTCCATCCTTTCACTTCTTTGAGAGCTGATCTGATAGGTGCAGCGATGTTGTCTGGTGAAACATACTTCTGAGTTGGCCTGTGGAGATCAACTTCTGCTCTGCAGCATTTAATGAATGCCTCGAGTGCAGGGTTTTTACATGATTCAAAAGTA